TTTTAAGAGTGAAAATATTCATTCCATTGGCAAACTATCTTATTTACCTACTCAAATTAAGACATTTTTAAATAAAAACTGCTGGTATTAGAAGTACAGTGACTCCAGAAAGTTTAGTGTTCAGTGATCTTTCCAGCCTAATATACCCATTAGAGTTCATATTCAGTTTTATCAGAGAATAAAGGAGTTTTTGGAGGTTTTAATGCAGCATAGATATCTTCTTTCTTAGAAATCTCCTCTGTCTTGTTGCTCTTTAAACAGTTTATCTTCTTTTAGATGTGGAGCAATGTTCAGACTTTGTAAAGTCCCATCTTTTCTGCAGTCACACTGCAAAAACCTTCAAGAAATAAGCAAACATTTCTTAAAATAAATCTATTTCCCCTTACTTCTTTAGTAGGTAAATAAGATGATTTGCCAATGGAGTTAGTTTTTTTATTCTTAATGTAAGATAATTAGATATGATGCACTTGAAATAAGACAATGCAATTGTTTTTTCTTATTTTAAATGTAAATTGTCTTGTTCCATTGGCAAAGTATGTCACTTACCTCCTTAATTCAAGAAAAATGCCCGTATTTTAAGAAAAAAAATGACTTTTTTGCAGTGCAAAATTTTTTGCAGTGCATGGGTGATTGCCGTCACTCTGCCATAGATCCCCTCCCTCTAAAAAAAAGAAGAGTGCTGTCCTGGTTTAAATAAAAACTAAGATTTCCAGGATAGCTACAGCCTCTGAGCTTCATTAGATTCACCACAGCTGAACCAACAAAGACTGACGGCTTTACTCTGGAAAAAAAATCTATATCTAGATAAGTCATTTTTGCTTTAAATAAGTTCATTTGTTCTTGGACTGAGGAGATAAAAGAGACATTTTGCCAATGGAACAAGACAATTTAGATCTAAAATAAGAAAAACAAAAACATTGTCTTATTTCAAGTGCATATTATCTCATTCTCTTATTTTAGGAGTAAAATTACTCATCCCATTGGCAAATTATCCTTTTTACCTATTCAAATAAAGGGAAAATAAATTTATTTTAAGAAATTTTTACTTGTATTTCCAGTGTAGGTCAAAGGTGTGTTTACACTGCAAAAACAATCTAGTGATAAGTGAAAATGTCTTAAATTGAGTGTATTTACCCTTAATTTGAGTAGGTAAATGAGAGAGTTTACCAATAGAATTGGTATTTTTACTCTTAAAATAAGATAATTAGATAATATGCACTTGAAATAAGACAATGTAATTGTGTTTTCTTATTTTAAGTGTAAATTGTCTTGCTCCATTGGTTGAATGTATCTTTTATCTCTTCAATCCAAGAACAAATGCACTTATTTTAAGAAAAAATTACTTAGCTAGATTTCATTTTTTTCCAGTGTATCCATGAAGCCAGGCTACTGGGGCTGGTTTTTCTTTCATATTTGAATCAGATAAATGTTCTTTCAATTAAAGAAATGTACCAAAGAAGA